GAGAATATATGCTGTGTGTTATATTGGAGGACACTGATTTGTAATAATGTGAATAATGTGTTATTTAGGAACAATCTGAGTTTGAGAAAGAGGACATTTACTTCTCTGCGAAGGAGTCGGACTATTTAAATCAAGAAGAGAAGAAACTTTACAGGGATCTAGTGGTAGAGAATTACCAGACCTGCGAAGGAGTCGGACTATTTAAATCAAGAAGAGAAGAAACTTTACAGGGATCTAGTGGTAGAGAATTACCAGACCCTCGGCTCTCTGGGTAAGAAAATCTCACACATCCCCTTTACAGGAAATATTTCTCATCAGAAGACACATTTATATCTGGGACCAGGGCTGGACTGGGAATAAAAAGCAGCCCTGGAAATGTTTTATACCAGCACTAATATTAATTATGCCATCTGTGACCAATATACGGATGGGAAAAGCCATTTTTTTACACTAATACATTTTATTTTAATTTTATTTTCAGCCAGCAGGGGGACCACCTGTCATTACAGGAAGTCCCCCTGCTGGTAATGCAGGAGGCAGCTACCCCCGGCCATGTGATTGTGGGGTCCTCGCTAGGACCCCACTCTCACATGGCCGGGGGGCTTCGAGGAGGACCGAGGTGCCGCGGGGGGCTCCCTGGGAGTCCCCCGAACCGCGATCGCCGGCGTGGGATTGCCGGCGACCGGGTAAGTACCGAAAGACCGGAGGGCGTACTATTACGCTCGGCGGCGTTTAGAGCCGCTTAGAATAGGGCGTAATAGTACGCCATCCGGTCTTAAGGGGTTAAGCTATGATAAACGTCTTCCCCAGACATTTCAAGAAAGTCCCACGATTAGTTATAAAAGGAATAGAAATTTGAACAAGACGCTGGTTCGCATGACTTAGCATCATTTGAAATCTGATTAAAGCCATACGTTATATTTGGCGGTAAGCTACACAAAGAAATTCTATATGCATGGTAAATGAATAGATGCCTTTAGAAATATGAGCCTTGGTAATACAGAGGGAGACTGGCTAGCAAAGCTTAGGTCAAAGGTTACTATAAACAGGCCCTTCATCTATCACTCTTAAAGTGAACCAGATGTGGTCTCCATTTCTATACAATGAAAGTCTGTAATACTATAGGCCTAGGTATGGCTTCTCAATTTCAGTGTTCTGGAAGTAATCTGAATAAAACTTACAATATTTATATCAACACTTTAAATATTTAATAGTTCACAAAATATTTTTTAATGTGCACACGAATTTCCCCAAAATATAAAGCATTAAAATCATATTTACTTACCCCCACCTGTACGGCAACCGACTCCTAGGGCACCTGGACCTGGACTGCCACGGGTTAGCCAACGTGAGTCTGCAACCACGTGACGTTGCGCTCAATGACGCGGCCTGGGGTCGTTGCCATAGAAACCTATCAAACATAGATCGAAATAAAATTTAAATAACACAAAATGTAAAAACATGAGAGCAGTAATCGAACTACATCACGGCAGGGGGGCTAAATGTAAATGGTGGATTCAATTTAACACCACTAGAATACATACAATGTCAATGCTTTATGAATATTAAATGAAATCTTACTTTGACCACAATCTATCAAAAATAAGGATGAGGAAAATCTAAAGCTGTACCCAAATAAATGAAAAGAGAGATCAAACCATAACATAAACATTCTGAAGATACACTGATCCAGTTCCCCACATTAGACCACCAGAGGGCATACAATAGTGTTCAGACTCCTATTACTTCTATCCATCTGATCTACATGCATAAGAAATCATATTGTACATGAACATTTAAAGCAGTATTTACACTTCCTTTATTGCTAATTCTGTTTTATTTCAAATAGCTTTTCTTCTGCTCTGTTAATGACTTGCAACACCCTGCATAAGCATTCTGTATGTGATGAAAATGCAATCTATAGAGCAGAGATAATTTTAAAGTAAGTTACTATCTGATTGAAAATTAAACCATTTTTTTCATACAGGCTGTGTCAGTCAGAGCGAGGGTGAGTGTGTCTAGGGCTGGATGGACGGAAACACAAGTGGTTTAATTACTAAACGGCAGAGAATTGAGCAGTGAGGCTTCAGAAGTATGATCTATATACAAAAATGTCTTCAAGTTGTTTTGGTGACTTTAGTTTTCCCTGAAAGTGACACATTTTCTTTAACTCTCAGTACATTTCTTTCAGGTGTTTCTGCCAGCAGAATTTATCCCAAAGAACATGACAAAAACAGAAATGCAAAAGGCAAGATTATGAAGAATTTGTTTAAGGATCGTTTAACTCTCTGAATCCTATATGTCTACAAATTAGCTAGTAAACAAAAAAATTCACGTGTTCTAACTGTGAGAAATGTTTTACCCATCACTCGAGTAGTTCTTGTTAGGCTTCACACAGCGGAGATGCCTTTCGCATGTTTTGTATGTGGGAAATGTTTTTTAACTAAATCAGATCTTATTATACATCACAGAACTCACACAAAAGAGAAGCCGTTCTCCTGTTCTGAATGTGGGAAATGTTTTGGAACTAAATCAGACATTATGGCCCATCAGAGAACTCATACAGTAGAGAAGCCGTTCTCCTGTTCTGAATGTGGGAAATGTTTTGGAACTAAATCAGGCCTTATTTTACATTTCAGAACTCACACAGGAGAGAAGCCGTTCTCATGTTCTGAATGTGGGAAATGTTTTAGCCATCATTCAAACCTTGTTGTACATCAGAGAACTCACACAGGAGAGAAGCCTTTCTCCTGTTCTGAATGTGGGAAAGGTTTTATCAATAATTCAAAGCTAATTTTTCATCAGAGAATTCACTCAGAAATTAATCCGTTCTCTTCTGAATGTGCACAATATTTTGTATTTAAATCAGACCTTATTTCACATTTGAGAACGCACACAGGAGAGAAGCTGTTCTCATGTTCTGAATGTGGGAAATGTTTTGGAACTAAATCGGAACTTATGACACATCAGAGAACTCACACAGGAGAGAAGCCGTTCTCATGTTCTGAATGTGGGAAATGTTTTAGCCAGCATTCACACCTTGTTTTACATCTGAGAACTCACACAGGAGAGAAGCCATTCTCATGTTCTGAATGTGTGAAAAGTTTTGCCTCTAAATCAAACCTTGTTAGACATAAGAGAACTCACACAGGAGAGAAGCCGTTCTCCTGTTTTGAATGTGAGAAATGTTTTGGAACTAAATCAGAACTTATGGCACATCAGAAAACTCACAGAGGAAAGACGCCGTTCTCCTGTTCTGAATGTGCACAATATTTTGTATGTAAATCAGACCTTATTTCACATTTGACAACTCACACAGGAGAGAAGGCGTTCTCATGTTCTGAATGTGGGAAATGTTTTAGCCAGCATTCACACCTTGTGGTACATCAGAGAACTCACACAGGAGAGAAGCCATTCTCATGTTCTGAATGTGGGAAATGTTTTAGCCAGCATTCACACCTTGTTGTACATCAGAGAACTCACACAGGAGAAAAGCTGTTCTCCTGTTCTGATTGTGGGAAATGTTTTAGAACTAAATCAGAGCTTATAGCACATCAGACAACTCACACAAAAGAGAAGCCGTTCTCATGTTCTAAATGTGGGAAATGTTTTGGAGCTAAATCGAACCTTATTTCACATTTGAAAACACACACAGGAGACAAGCCTTTCTCCTGTTGTGAATGTGGGAAATGTTTTGCCTCTAAATCAAACCTTGTTGTACACCAGAGAACTCACACAGGAGAGAAGCCGTTCTCCTGTTCTGAATGTGGGAAATGTTTTGTCGATAGTTCAAAGCTTGTTAGACATCAGAGAACTCACACAAAATAGGAATTTTCTGATGTTCTGAAGTTGTAAAATGTTATAGTTACATACTGATTTAAAAAAAAAAAAGTATATTTTTGTAAAATGTATTTTTGAAATGCATGGTTAGTCAAACAAGATTACAATGACAGTTTTGCAAATATAGGCTTGTCAATAAACGAGAGAGTAGTAGAAAATGTCAAATGAAGCGCTGCACTTTTTTTGTGTAGAGATAAGACACCAGTATACTGTTACTAGCAAAGATATGGCAGTAGAGTAAATTATGCTAGACTAGTGTAGATCCACAGTCCCTAAAATAAAGGTCAGGTACAGAGGCTCGCTCAACCCATGGCAAATAGAAACAAGAGTAGAGGCCTAGTCTTGGCACATAGGAATATGAAGCAAAAGATAATATGGTATTGACATATATATAACCTCAAATTAAAATACAACAAACTGCAGAATTGCTCTTTTAAATAAGGCAAGTCCCCAGAATAGTTGATCACCCTATGCCTATCTGAGAGGCTTGTGGTATGTGTCGATTTTCCACTATTTGAATAAAGTAAAATATGAGATATCGGGCGTTCCAACCAAATAATACAAGAGCGGTCTAAAAACACTTCAAGTGTATTGTCACACAAGTACACTGATATAAAAACAGAAACACCACAGAAAGTGTCGAAGTGCACAATGTAAAAATTCTTTACCTTTAAAATACAATAAAATGTGATGGGTCTTTTTCTTGCTAGAACCCTAAATCCTATAACTACAAAACAGAGGAACCATAGTGTAACCTGTATACATAAATATAACAGTGATACAATAAAAATGGAACACTCGCACTTACAGAACCCTTAAAGAGTGTCTCTGAACTGTAAAGGCATGCCATCCACAATAGAGATAGTTGTAGTGGTGTCTCGCTGGAACTTTGAATTTTCCAAGTAAAAACTGGAACCAGGAACCAAATAGACAAAATAAAAGTTGTTTATTCTATATAGAAGTTAAAACATAACAAAATAAATTAGTACAATGTGTTTCGTCCTTAAAAGAGGTATTTTCGGGTGAAATCTACCTAACAACTGTCATAACAGGCTTTACATACCCTAAAATTACTTAAACATAACATAAAACAGATGTAGTAAATAAAACACATATGATTGACATAGCCAAGACAATATGTCTCCTAACCACCTTACCTTCAGCCATCGGGACCCGGGGAACCCCCACACAGTACCCGTGTCTAGAACGGTCGAATGAGCGAACACTGCCGCCAAATGTGATATACTGTGCCTTCTTCTCTCATGCATCTCCAGCACCGGTCGCTTACACCGGGGAAATGTGTCCTGTACCACATGGCTACTTTCTTATAAAACCTTTCTCTCTGTGCAACACTAATAGAGTATTTCATTACTTGTCCCATAATGTATTCCCAGTCTTTGTGGGTTAACTGTACTTTAAGGATGGAGCACCATTTAGCCCAGTATGGTGGGGAAGGGTTCTCAGGGTAGTGGTTTTTGTATCCGAGCGCAGAAAGAGGTCTGTGCAGTCTGGTGCCCGAAGTGCACAGCTTCTCAAAGGGGGTCAGGTCCCTCTCTTCCCAGGCTGGTAGTATGTATTTCTTTAAATAAATGGACAGCTGGGAATATTGCATCACCTCTAGGAGAGAAGCTAGACTGCTGCCACTTCTGAGATATATTAGGGCAGGGAGACTAGAGCCTTCTGTTACCCATCCTATCCTCATGTTCTCACTCCCCAGGAGACTTTTGATGGATTCTTCTCCCCTTCCTTGTTGGAAAACTGGGTTGTGGGCTATCGGACATAGAGGCGTCCCAGGGAACATCTTACAAATAGTTTTAATTTTCCTCCGTGTATGAAGAATGTGGCCCAGAAAGGGGTGGGAAGTCTGCACTAGTTTACTTAGATGGCGTGTTTGCCACGGTAAAGTCTCCAAAGGGGCTGTGGCAAAACCCTGTTCCAAGTCATACCATGCCCTGGGGAACCACCTATCTGCCCACTCTTTCAAGCGTACCATAAGTGCTGCAATGTAATAGTGGTACCCGTGAGGTAACCCCAATCCCCTTCTTTCTCCCGGTGCCATCAGTACTTTATAAGAGATGCGGGGTGTTTAGTCCGCCAAACGTATGATGTGAATAAATGTCTAATGTTATTAAAAAGGTTCTTTGTACATGGATGGGCAGTGTCTGAAAGATAAAAGATACTCTGATTGCTGGATAAGAAGTCCAGACCAGAGAGTATCGACTGGAATCTAACTAAGTACATAAATTGAGAAAAAAACAATGATAACTGTATGTACACGTAACTCTCCAACTAGAGAGTAGTAAGTCAGAAACAGATAGGGAATTACTAAAGCCAAATGGCTAAACCTCAAAAACTCTAGTCTCAGGAATTCTTAATAAAGTTCAGACTATAGACTTTAATTATCATGCAAGGTCAATGTCTGAAGATTGAAGAGAATATATCTAAATAGACTTGGGTAATGGTCCAGAACCAATAATGTCTGTATACTCTCAACAAAATAGGTAGCTTAAATAATATACTTTAAGGGAAAAAGCTACCATGTGGTTCAGGATAAAAAGTAGGGGAGACAACTAGGGATGCACCGAAATGAAAATTCTGGTCCAAAACCGAAAATTCAGAATGCCCTTGGCCGAAAACCGAAAATGACTCTTTTCCCTAAATGATTTTAAAGTTTTTTTTTCCTAAAATTTTATTAATATCAGACTTTTTAATGAATTTAATCTAATATGAAAAACTTCCCTTCTCTTTTAGTGCCCCTCCCCGCTTAATGTTCCTCTCAACTCCCTCTTTTTAGTGTTCTTTCCCCCCTCTTCCCTAGTCCCATAGTTTCCCCCCACTCCCATGTCCCATAGTGTTTTTTTCTCCCCCCTAGATATATTATTATTTTTTTAAAATTTTGGCTAATTTGACCTGTTTTCGGTCAAAACGGGATAGGTCAATTTTTGGCCGAAAATCTGGTGCATGCCTAGGGACAACCGGCAACTCTGGCGGGTGCGGTTCTCTATTGTAAAGGGCCTTGAGTCTCTGCCCTTCACTCCTACCATAGCAGTGGGACCCTTACCCAGTTGCAACTTTTTGTCCCAAGCCCCAGTGCCTCCATCGCTGCAAACATATATGACCAGTCCACCCTATCAAACGCCTTTTCAGCGTCTACAGACAGTAAGGCCAAGGGCATATTGGTTACTCTGACCCCGTGCAGGAGGTTCACTATTTTGGTTGTGTTATCTCTCGCATCCCTGCATGGGACAAATCCCGTCTGGTAAGAGCAGACCAGCCTAGGCAGTAGGGCACTGAGACAAAGGGCCAACAATTTAGCTAATATTTTTAAGATGAGATAATGTGTGTCGTGTGTTTGGTGAAGTAAGTCTGTAGGTCAGTTTCTGATCCACATGCCGGGGGAGGTTATATAGGTCTCTATAGAAGGTACTGAAAGCTGCTGCTATGTCTTTCTGTCTTGTTATAGTCTGTATCTTGTTTATCTTGTAATTTGGTATGTATGATCGTTGTCGTTTTGCCTTTAGTGCTTGTGCTAGTAGTTTTCCACATTTCTACCCATGTACATTATACATATTGCGGGTTAGTAGTATGGCCCTTTGAGCTTGTATGTTCAGGAGGTCTTTTAGGTCTGTACAGATTGCTGTAAGGCACTTAAGGGATTCCTTGGATGCCTGTGCTTTATGCTTGAGCTCCTCCTGTCTTATTTTGATCGGCAAAAGCTTGGTCCTGGCTGCCCTCTCCCCATTTTATTAGGATGACTCTTATAACTCCCTTATGGGCTTCCCATAGCCAAGCAGGTGTAGTGTGCTGGGTGGGCGTTCTCTTTAACCCCTTAACGACTGATGAGGGTTCAGGCCTGTCATCGGAAACATCCCCTTGAGGACCGCTGACGGTCCTGAACTGGCATAAAGGGAAAACGATCGCTTCCACTGAAATTCCACTGTTACTATCTGCCAGGCATGCGAGGCAGGTAGTAACAGCCAATTATGCAGTTACAAACACTCACATTGACTGTGATCTTTGCCCCTCTCTCCTCTGTAGTGTTTTGAGAGGGAGAGATACAGAGATCAGTTCTTGATAGTTTGTTGCCAGTTTGTTAAAGTGTTGCCAGAAGTGCCAGAACCTGTGAAAAAAGTAATAACATTCCTTGTAAACCCCTTCCCTGCCAAATCCTATTCCAGTAGTGCGTTTGTACGGTCTGTAATTTGTATTTTATTTTTTGCCCTTTAGGGTTATTTTTTGTTAAAAAGCTGTGTATTAGTCCGTTTTAGTCTGGTTTAGTCAGTTTCCTTCCCCCAGATCTCCATTAGATTCTTTTTGCAGGGTTTGGTTTAGAGATTGCTGCTAAAGGTGCATTTGATACCTGCACACTTGTCCTTTAAAAAGTAAAAAAGTTTTCTGGCAGTATCATATATCCCGCTTGCCAAAATCTAAAAGCAATGTGTGCATAAAAAACAGAATTCAAAAATTACCAGCACACACTTTCTCTGAATTTTTTGGATCAAAATGGTTGGTGGAAAGCAGTCAAAACATCTTCTATAACTTTGGATGTCTACTTTATAAAAATATATACTTTCAAACCATAAATTCAAATTGGAGGATGTAAAAATGCACCACACTCAACATCTGCCTAGCAAAGCAAGCAAACTATATTCAAATTTCCAAAATTAGCATAGGTGTACTTGGGGGACTTTGAAGAAAACAAACTGGGGTGTTTTCTGGCAGTATCATATAACCAGCTGGCTAAAATCAAAAAGCAGAATTCAAAAATTGCCATCATGCACTTTCTCTGAAATTCTCTTAGCACAATGGGGAAGGATGTAAAAACACCCCATAAACAATACTCTGGCATGTCTACTTTATAAAAATATATACTTTCATGATGGTAACATTAACTGGGAGATGCAAAAATACGCCAAACTGAAGAATACCTATATATCAAGTTGAAAAACTGACATGCACAAGTCTCTATCGTGGCCTTTTAGCCCCCAAACAACCCAGCAAACCAATGCATGGGTGGTATCACTGTACTCAGGAGATGTTGCTGAACACATATTGGGATGTTGTTTGGCAGTGACACATAACAGGATCTGTTCATTCATGTCTAAAGTACAATGTATGTTAAAAAAACAAAAAAAATTACTTCTAGAGTTGAGCAGACCCCTGGATGTTCGGGTCTGGTGGGTTCGGCCGAACTTTGAAAAAAAGTGCGGGTTTGGGCTCGAACTTGACCCCGAGCCCAATTGAAGTCAATGGGGACCCGAACTTTTGGGCACAAAAATGTCTCTAAAAAAGTCCTGGAAAGGGCTAGAGGGCTGCAAAAGGAAGTAAAATATGGGTAAGAGTAGGACAAGTGCCCTGCAAACAAATGGGAATAGGGAAATCACTTAAAATAACATAAAATAAGCAGCCGCTTAGTAGAGGCGTCTACCAAAAGGCTGAAACACCTAAAGTGGTCTTTCAGCCAAGTTTACTAATACTAAGTAAAGATTACTTAGTATTAGTAAATTCAGCCCTTACTCGCTAGTAAACAGTGAGCAGCCAGTGGCAGACCCTTATCTAAATTCCTGTTAAAAAAAAAAACTTACCATTTTATGTCTTCTTTCTTCTAAACTCTTCTTTTTTCAGACCCAAAAAAGGCCAAATAAAAATCCATAATTACCGACACACTTTAAGAAAAAAAAAACCGAGCTAAAAAAATAAATCCATTTTCACCAATGGAGGGCTCCGCGCAGGGGTGAGGGCAGGGGGGAAGGACAGTAGGTCTCCCCCAAATTCTTATTTATGGCCCCCACCCACCACGCAGGGCTGGGGGCGAGGACAATAGGTCCCCCCTTATTGATATTTAGGGCCCCCACCCACCGCTCAGGGGTGGGGTGAGGACAGTAGGTCCCCCCCCCAATTTTTATTTATGGCCCCCACCCACCGCTCAGGGGTGGGGCCTGGGGGAGGACATTAGGTCCCCCCCAATTTTTATTTATGGCCCCCACCCACCGAGCAGGGGTGGGGCCAGGGAGAGGACAGTAGGTCCCCCCCCAAATTCTTATTTATGGCCTCCACCCACCGCGCAGTGGTGGGGGTCAGGGGGGACAATAGGTCCATCCCCTTATTGGTATTTAGGGCCCCCATCTGCCGTTCAGGGTTGGGGGCCGGGAAGGGCAATAGGCCACAGGCTGCTCACTGTTTAATAGATATGCCCCTACTAGCTGGGTCACATGCTGCACTGGCCAATCACAGCCATGCCATTAGTAGGCACTGACGAACAAGGCAGGATACAGACTGATTGAACCAGCAGAAAGATTGCTTTGCATACAGATCCCTTGGAGAATACGTCTACCGAGATTGTCTGCTCTGTCCGTCCCCTGGAGTGAGGTCTTGTTGGGACGCACATCCAGACGCACGCCGTCCTCACCGGCAGCTGCATTCAGGAGACGAATTGGCATTATTCAATCCACATCCATCCTCAGCCAGTCCGAGGGTTTACAACATCTGTCCACTTTCATAAGACTGGTAACAATATCATCTACTGTTCCTGACCTATATTTTTTGGTTTTTATACCTATTTAAGTAATTTTTATTGTTGTTTATAATAAACTGTTTTTTTTACTATATCCAGTTTGTTTTACCTTACTTCAGTCTATAGCAATGGATTGACTGCTTCAAATACACAGTCCCAGTCACTTTGTTGCCTTTTTGCTATTATTTGCAACATTGCTATTATTCTTTGCAACACTGTTACTTTTATTTATATCTAAAAGAAAAGAGGGGCAAGAATCCCAGAAACACCGGGAGTAAATCCCCTCAGAACTAGTACCCCCTATAGAGCAATAAATAGGATTTGCCCACTAGTCGTGTATAGAAAAAATAATAAAGGTTTATTGAAAATAGATTAAAAATCCCATAAATAGTGTGCTATAATACACCAGACTACTATAAACTAGGAATAAAGGGAATCAGCCAGAGTGCACATAACTATATAATACATTTGGATATTTAGTTGCACAGAATCCAGTAGAAAAGTAGTAAGCACATAAGCTACTTCAAGTTAGCAACAATATCCATATAGTGACACATGTAAATATAGTAGACACCAGCTAAAAGCTGCATTCAAATTCCTACACAGAACGACTATACTCTTCACTATTAGATATCCAGTTTAAGTAAAAAATGTGTAGATATATATAGATAGGTATATCTTAGCCACAATGGCTTCAAGTATCTTTATCAAAGTAAGTAAATCGAAAGGACAGAAAGATATCAGTGGAGTGCTATTCACCGTGCACACCATATAACGTACGCGGAAGTGGCCGAATACTGAAAGAACCCGGCATTTGTTCCGGTAAAGTGATCGCACCTGGGGAGAAGAAACTTTGGACGAATAAGAACTGAGAAAATGAGAAGACACCCACTATTCCACCAACTTGAAGGGATTAGCCCTATATAAGATTGCTTGTTTGGTAGCGTTTTTAGGATGCTTTTTGATTTTGTACCTGTGATTTTATCTTATTGAAAGAGGTCCCTGAGGAAGTCCTTTTGCACAAGGACGAAACGCGTAGGACCAGTGTTTCTTTCATATTTGTTTTTATGATTTTTACCTGTACACCTCCTGATTTTAAGAAGTGAATAAATCGCCTTTGAAGTATTCTTTTGGATCTGTTGGATCACTGTTGGATCACCTTGCTGACCTTGATACCCCATTGGCTATCACTTGAGGAGGGATATTTAAAGAAAAAAAAACCCATCTACATCGTGGGGAGGCACCCATAATACACTTAACCATTTGGAATATGTGAGTGCATATTAATAATCAGATTTTTTATAGTATCTAGCAATATTTGTTTTATCCTCCATTGTAGGAACACTAGCAAAATCCCCAAATATCCTATCAATTTTAACAAGCACATCTGTCTGAACGGGCCTCGAACGCTTCAGTCCGTGGGTATCCCATAGTGGCTAACCCACTACATCTCCCACAACAGACTTTTGCCGGTAGAGACAGACGCTATCCCTGGCTCTCTCCCTTTCTATTTCATTGACCTTAGCTTTTTTTGCAGTCTGAACATGGATATCGTTAAAAAAAAAATGTTATATAGTAATTGAAGTAAAGTTACTCTCTTTCTTTGAATAATTCATTAACTATTGAGGTACTATCACTTCTATTAATTAGACCATAACAATTATACCACCCTGTAACTTAAATGAATAACCAGTAGTGTCCAGGTTAATAGAACATTAACATTTAGTTAATACTAAAACACTATTCAACATTAAGGATGTTACTGTAAACGTACAATCTGTAACTAACAAGATTCGATTGAGTGAAGATACAATATTAAAATAAGATACACAGGCCACTTAATAGGTGTAACATCACAGAAACTTTTGGTGGCAGGTATAAAGAACTTGCATTATTTGGCTATTTCCCTTGTTACAAGGCACAGGCTTTAATGCATATTAATATGGATAATCGGCTGTTATGCTCATATATTCATGTCCAACAGATATCATTGATAGGTCACACCACAGCTGCAAATGGCATATGAGCAAATTTTGTTTTTTAATTTTTTTTTATTATTGTCACGGACACATTTCTGATACAGGGAAACAAATAGCATGATTGTTTTAGTAATTATAATGTTTCTGTTCATATTATGTAGAGTGTAAGGAAAACAACATGTCTCTAAATAGGACGAGCATAATAGGGGTACTTTCAACATTACACTATATTATAACTAATAAAATAAGTCAGTTTTCGAAATGAAATACTAAACTATAAATAAACCTGGCAGGTTAAATAAGACAGTTGAGAACATTATGCATTTAAAAGCCCATAAAGCTGCCCATAGAAACATGTACTTTAAAATAACATGATGCAAGATAAACTCACGGAATTCAACCAATTTCCCTTATCATCCAACAACCATTAATCTCCTTCCTCTTCATATACTAACCTAGCTATTCTGCATATTCCCTCTATCTGCATTGCTTAGTATTGTAACAAATCACACTTGCCTTTTACACTTAACATGTCCAATATTCCTTTGTTATTGTATCAGCTTCACCTTCCTAAATTCCGTAATCAACACTGAATGCATTCTTGTGAGCTAGACTCCCCCACAATCCACACAGGACAGATGGAGTACAAAGGAAAAGATAAACGTGGCAACACTAAGCAAAAGGCATTTACAAAAGTCACACACATATAAATGAGTGTACACTCCAGAATCAAGGACAAGCCACACAACACACACCGAGGGTACCCACACTGTAACAACAATTGAACAAAATCTACAAAATGACAGAAAACAATATGGCCATGTACATATTAAGACAAAAAAGCATTAAACATCAAATATCAACAATCCCAGCCTCTCTGTCTAGGCTGCAGCCCTGTACAGTGAAACCCCACCTACTAACAGGTGATCCCCAGTCTCTCACTGGCCGTTTATGATGTCCCAACCCTGCTACCCGGGTGGTTCCCAGCCCCTCACCGGCTGCCTGCAATATCCCAACCCTATCACTAGGGTGGTCCTCAGCCCCTCACCGGCTGCCTGCAGTATCCCTACCCTATCACTCGGGTGGTCCCCAGCCCTTTACCAGCTGCCTGCAATATCCCAACCCTATTACCCGGGTGGTTCCCAGCGATGCCAATAACAACCCAACCCTCTTACCCGGGTGGTCCCCAGCCCTTCACCGGCTGTTGCGTCCCCTGCCCGCTAGGCAGTCAAGCTAAAGTTTTAAAAGAAAACACATGCACCGGCCGTCACACACATTCATGCAAACACTCAGGAGGCAGATAGACAATCGACAGGTTCATTAAAAGAGGCACCGGATAAGAGATTACCTGTCTTCTTGTAGCCTTCTGGAAGCCTGAAGTGGACGCGGAGGCAGACCGACACAAAACAGGAGGATACAGACAACGGCTGTAGGTTTGGAGGTGATTAGGCTCCGGTTGTCCCATTTTCTGGGGGTCCGCTCTGGTCCTTGGTTTCCGGCCGTCCAAACCGGCAAATCCGGGGCCCCACGTCTGGGCACCAAATGAAGTGGAAATCAATTCAATCAATTGATTATTTTTGTGTATCTGCCCCTTTCCAAATTGGTTATGGTGCATGCATGCTTTCCAAAGTAAATCACACCAGACACATGTTTCCCGGTTGATGAAATACTCTGGAATGTTTATTTAGGGGGGACAACATGTCCCTTATAAAGCACAATTACATCATAAGCACTGTCAGAGATAACATGAAATAATACATCAATAATTGGTTAAGTGTTTTATTCAAAGCAAGTCCTACTGGGTGTGCCATCTTATGTCATTACTGTCGTCATGAAGTTCTCCCCCGGATTCCAGCGCCATCTTGAAAACGAGAGTGTTTGGTCGATGGGTGGGGTACTCCTGAGTGACATCTAGTGGTCAGTTTAGTAATTTATTGAATAATACTGAGTATAACTAAATGGAGTAAATAGGCATTTTACTAGCTAAAATTATGTTAATATGTCATTTCCACAACACTCCCTTTCCCTGGGGGTCCAGTGGCTGCTGGGCGGGTGGTGCTGGCGAGGGAACACTTTCCCCTGAGCCCTCTGCTCAGCTCCCTCGTGCGCCGCAGAGTGATGCCGGGAGCTGGAATATGATGTCATATTCCGGCTCCCGGCATCACTCTGCGGCACGGAAGGGAGCTGAGCAGAGGGCTCAAGTGAAAGTGCTCCCTCGCCAGCGCCGCCCGCACAGATTTTTACGCCCCCTGGAAATGCCGCCAATGGCAAATGCCTTGTTTGCCTCACGGCTAATACGTCCCTGCTTGAGACAATCCAGTTTTTCAAGGAACTCATTTCGTTCACATGTTAGAGAAATATTTTCTGCCTTTAGTTTTTTATTCTGTGCTTTAAGCCCCAGGTAAGGAATCCAAGGTTCTGTGTGGGGGTTACCATTATTATATTTTCTCTGTGATCTCCACCTGGAGTGATTAGATGCATTTTTATTTCCCTGAGTCCAGCTATTCCTACTCATAGTTTGAGACTGATTCATTCGCAAAGAGTTACAGTTTCTTGCCATGTGCCCAATCTTTTGGCTCAGTTTTACCATTTGGATTTTATTCGCAAAAATGTTTGGTTTAGCGTCTCACCCGCTGTCCTCCCCATAGTGTGTGGCGGCTAGTTGTAATGAGAGTGTGTGTTGGCTGGGTGTAATGTGTGAGGATGTAGTGTGTCTTCCTGCTGCCCCCCTCCTTTATTTTTCTAGCCTTTTTAGTGCATTTCCAAGATCCCTGGTAGTCCAGCCTGTGTGGGGGGAGGGGGAGTAGTCCTATTCCTTGGGGGGTCTATCAGGGATCCTGGTGGTCCAGGTGGTCATATTCCTTGGGGGTCTACAGACTCTCACTCCCAGCACTCGGTCCTTCCTATAGCAGCACTGCTGTTTGCCATCTCTAGTGAAATCAATGCACTAACACATTGCCTATTGCCCATACTGCTCCTAGTGAGCACAAGGGAACTTTGCCCTCATCCAACATGGCGCCGGGTGGTTCACGCTCCGTGATGTCATTTCCTTTCCCAGATGAAGCTTTCCTTCCATAGGCTGCTTACTAGGCTCCGCCCCCTTCTCACTGTATTCGGCATTGCCATCAGTGACGTCATTTAGCTGCGCCGTGCTGAGCCGGTGGGAGCAGAGTGTGAGGCTCGGGGTTCATGGTGTTTATTGGGATTATTCCTGGTTCCAGATCAGGAGGTTAGTATTGTCCTCAGTGACCCCCCTGGAGCATCATGTGACCTGGTAATACAGCCATTCAGTTATTACTGAGCAGCATGGAGGATACTGGATCAGTAATACAATGCTGCCATTAATCAGACTAGTACATTAACATGGGAGAGAGGGGGGACAGCATGGAGAGAGAGAGAGAGGGGGGGCAGCATGGAGAGAGAGAGAGAGAGAGAGAGGGGAAGCATGGAGAGAGAGAGAGGAAGCATGGGAGAGAAGGAGAGGGGGCAGCATGGGGAGAGAGAGACAGAGGAGAGGGGGCAACATGGGGAGAGAGAGAAGGAGAGGAGACAGCATGGGGAAAGAGAGACAGAGGAAAGGGGGGCAACATGGGGAAAGAGAGACAGAGGAGAGGGGGCATCATGGGGAGAGAGAGAGACAGAGGAGAGGGGGGCAACATGGGGTGAAAGAGACAGAGTACTGTAGCAGGATATATTTGCTGACTCAAGAAGTGTCCTTGAGGGGCATTGCAGCAATGGAGAATGTTTAACCCTTTTACGTGGGGAGAAAAGTAAAGGAGGTGGTGGGGGGGAGTGCTGCCAGCAGCGAGGATACTGGATCAGTAGCCAATGCCGCTACTAATCGAACAATTATATTAAGGAAGGAAGTATAACCTATAGGGTAGAGGAGAGAAAATATGCTGTGTATTTATGAGAGTGGGAGGACACTGATTTTTAACAATGTAACTAATGTGTTTTATTTAGGAACAATCTACAGAGTTTGAGAAAGAGGACATTTTACTTCTCTCTTGAAGGAGTGGACTATTTTTAAATCAAGAAGAGAAAAGAAACTTTAACAGGGATCTGGTGGTGGAGCATTGCAGACCCTCGGCTCTCTGGGTAAGAAAATCTCACACATCCCCTTTACAG